CCCCCAGCGATACGAACGTGCAACGAGACGAGCAGAGAAACGCGCCGCGGCTGACGGAGCGCGGGGCCGAAAGCAGCAGAGCAGCCTTGCTTTCTTGGGACGGGGAATGCACGTGCAGAACGATAGCGGCCCGCCCCCCCCCCCCCGTCTACAGGCAGACAGCGAAGGACAAAAAAAAGGTGGTCCATGATAAAGCTATTGTCTAAACTTCTACAAAGGCTTAGTAGCTGACCTGCGAGACGTTTTAGCAGTGATGGGGCTTCTTTGCTTAAAAAAAAAACCGACAGAAAAAAAACCCAAGCTACCAACAGCAAAAAACATACAGAAAGTTGCACTTGCTTTGTCAGGAGGAGGAGGAGGGCAAACGTTCTTGTAGCACCTTACACCACCGCTGTGTGATGGGGTGGCACCTTCAAACATCTAAAAGGGAGAGAGCAATTTTGCTGCTCTGAAAGAGGAAGCAACAAAATACAGTTTGTAGGCTTTAACTATTGTGTCAATACGCACTATGGTACGTCGCACTTTTAGCATGCAGAAACCTATCATACAAAGCTGTAAGGTTGATTTTGAGGTGAAAAACGTGCTTAAATTTCTTTCGGCCTTTATGATATATATAAAAAGCAGAAAAAGGATTACATATTAGTGTGGCTTTACATGTCTATTTTAGTATCACAGCGTAATAATGTGCTACATTCTTATTTCTTTGAACTGAATTCCTAGTGAATGTAGAATTTTTAAGCTGATTAAATATTGAAAAACAATAGCAGTGTTCTGTTAGCTTGGTGTCATGTGTTTTGGGGTTTTTTTTAAATGGTAAATGCGGAAATATTTAGTTCCTCCTAACACATATAAGTATGTTCAGTTATTTGGCTCACAAATTCTGCTAAAGTTCCTGATCCTGAACTTTGATTGCACAAGAGACTGCGAGCAGACGTGATTTTGTTGCCACTGAATATATGTGTGTGTGTATGTATGTGTGTGTATATGTATAAACTAGGGAGTTAGAGATCGCTGTGATGGGAGAGTTACCAAGACCGACCAGAAGGAACAGCTTGCGGTGGTGGTGGGTGCTTGTTTTTACCACTGCTTTGTTTATGATGGGCTAAGCCAAATAATTGTGATTCATAGAAATCGACTGCGTTCTCAGGTTAACGTACACATTTTTTAGGAGGACCGGAGTTCTAATTCATTCCACATATTCCCTTCCCAGTCTGAGCTACTGTGGTGGGTTGACCCTGGCTGGACGCCAGGTGCCCACCAAAGCCGCTCTGTCACTCCCCTCCTCAGCGGGACAGGGGAGAGAAAATATAACGAAAGGCTCATGGGTCAAGATAAGGAGAGGGAGATCACTCACCAGTTACCATCACGGGCAAAACAGACTCGACTTGGGGAAATTAGTTTAATTTATTACTGATCAAATCAGAGTAGGATAATGAGAAATAAACCCAAATCTTAAAAATGCCTTCCCTCCCACCCCTCCCTTCTTCCCGGGCTCAACTTTACTT